GGCGTGTGTGTGGGCGTGTGTGTGTGTGTGTGTGTGTGTGTTTATGTAAATACACATAACGATATACGATGATAAAGATCGTGATGATTCGAAACAGCTATTTAAATTGCAATTGAATGATGTGGATATATAGTACAAAAACTACCATCACGATATTATATCGTAGTAGAATGGACATAGAAATAATTTCCCTCTTCAAAATAAATCAGTCAGACTTGTCTTTGAAGTAGCAGTCGAATCACTGACGGATGACTCATGTGTTTGTTTCCTTTGTGAATTATGCATGTTACTAATATGCATGTTACTAATATTCCTAACAGATACTGCTAGTGAAAATAAAAACTAGCAACAAACGAGCCCCTCACATGCCCCCAAATGTGTCCACGTGCTATGAATAACCGACATTGATATTCGACAACAAAGGAACTTTTCCACTTACTAATCCGTCAGAGTTATATACTGTTTGAAACAGATAGATAAATCGATAAATACTAGAGTTTATCGCTGCAAGTATAAAAAATGTAAAATGTCTTCCTATTCTTAATGAGAACAATCAGTGTAACATTGATATAATATTCACTACGATCAAACATCACTTTCTTCACAACTACTGTTGGAATCGCCTATTTAACCTCAGGGAAATGATTTTTTTTATTCGAAATGATTCGACAAATCGGGTATTTGTTTATCCCAATGTTTTCACTGCGAAATGCACCATCTGTATCAACGGGGTTCCGCTGTATATTCATTTATCAATGATGCACTCTAGAAACACATTTCAAAGCAGCTTACCGTCAGTATGTGGGGGTTGTCAAATTACCATACAGGAGATAATACACACACTTAGCATTCCAAGACAAGTGTCACGTCCCCTCCTGCTCTTCATCATGCTGATCAACGTCATCTGCAGCATGTCTAGGTGTCCCAGAGGTGACTGTGAGTCCGATGTGCTGACATGATCATATCAATCCAACACACAGGAATGATCCATCATGATGTGTCATTTATTTCCGGGTAACATTTATTTGGACAACTCTTTTTCTTGCAGATATAATTTCCTGCTTGTAGGTAGCGTTGGTGTGGATGCACAGAAATATGTTTACATGGCAAAACTGATTAACAAAGGAGTAACAGGAAACTGCCTTTTGCAAAATGCCACACCATGTGCGAGAAACTTGAACGACAGACATGTCATTTGACCCCACCTCCCACCTCCCATCTCCCCCACACGGCCACCCACATACATCCAGGCACCCATAAACCCAAGACCACAAACCCCCAGCTGCTAAACTTGCGGGTTGATTACCTGCATGTAAACAACTCTGTGCGGTTTACGATTTATGTATTTTGTGCAAATAAGTTTCATACATCAATCAGTGAACAACTCAGCAACACGGCACACATACTACACGAACAAATTGCGGTTTGTAGCCGTGCTATTTAGTTTGATTTTGAAACATTATGTGGTGTGTTTATTTACTTGTATCATGTTTAGTATGTTTGTTCCAATGGTGCCCCCCCCCCCCCCGCCAATCACTGGACCAGATAATCTAGTGACCATCATGAGCATCGATCCAAGGTAATGGACTTGCATCAACCAAGTAAGCGAACCTAACCCCCCAATCCCGATACTCGCCTCTTACGACAAGCATGGGTTGCTTAAGACCTATTCTAACCCGGATCGTCAAGGATGCCAAGCGTGGTAGTATGCTTGGTCCCGTCTATCAAAGTTAGCTTCGGCGGATGCGCATTTCGAACGTAGAAGTAGTTCATGAGTTAGATTTGTCACCGGAATGCTGATACCGGAAGTAGCGCTTCGCAATACTTACGGATCCCACCGCTCGTCCTCATTACGATTCTTTGGACAAACAGACGCGCGCGTCCGTGGCGAAAATGACTCTTGGCGAAGTGAATGTAAAGCTAAGAGAAAATATACATCAGTATATTATGGCCATTTAGATGAAATACTGTGATAATCTAAACACATAAAATCGATGTTGGAATTTTTGACGCAATTACTTTCAGTATACTTGATTGATTTAACGCTAAGTCAGGCAAAGCCTATGAAACAATGCATTATAAATGGAAAGTAAAGCTTTTCTTGTCGCATAGCATGTATATCTCTTGTCATGTGCTACTAATAAAGACTTTGTTTTTCAGATCATCAGATCAAATAAACATATTCCAGGTCAGCCACTTCTGTGTTTACCAGAAAGCCACATAATCTACTCAGTAGGACTTGGGCACAAGTTCAGTGAAAATGGAAACCAAAGGACAAACTTAATCCTATGACGAGGGCACACATCCATAATGAGCCAATTCAATTGTCGGGTCGACGTTTTACTTTACAACGTTTCTCGGTAACGTCCATCCTCCCGAGGCAAGTGAGTTAACTGACTATAAAAGTCCAGTTTCCACCCTTGCCGAACTAGGCTGGTATTTTGGAGTTACATTTTGGCTGGACTAACGAGTCTATGCATAGTCCAATCAAAATCGCGCACCGAAATCGAAATCCGGTTCGTAAAGTGTCATGCAGATTTCGGTCGACTGCAGGATTCGCAAAGCATGTGCACCGCTAACTCGTTGTCAACAGATATTTTCTAAATCTTTTCATGCTTTTAATCAAGGTGCTCACGTGATTTGATGCACTTCGCGATGTAAGACTCGTTTTATCACAATATAGATTTTGATTATCAAACAGATCGTATTGACTGGGCACCACCGTTTTGTTTGGAGCAAATGCAAGTGATACGAGAGGTAGAATCTGATTGGTCAATAGGAGAGGCATAGAAAGGTCATAACTCGTAATAGCCACTGGTGGCGCTACGATCGAGCCCAGAAATTCCAGCCTAGTTCGGCAAGGGTGGAAACTTGACTTTTAAAGTCAATTAACTCTCTTGCCTCGGGAAGATGGGTAACGTCACGCTGGTAGACCTTCGACATTATATCAGTTCTACTGGTAAACCAAATTCCTGTCTAATGATAGTTCTTTTTCTTTTTTTTCTTCCAGTCTTCTAGATGACCTCGGCTCGCAACGAATTCGCCATGATTAGGAATATTTGTTCGGAAAATGTAGCTGATGGTATACGTTTGTGCCTTGTTTTTGTGAGCAAGTGCGTTGGGTTTTATATTCCAGTTTATGGCGTGTCAGCTTAATGTGAGAGATGAGTCCGAAGTTATGTGAAACCAACGACCACGGGTATTGAGCTGACAAACCTAGAAACATATTCGGGGCGAACCAGGATTTGAACTAACAATTATATGTTTCTGGCTTGCCCAAGAGACACAACAATTGTGACACCTTAGACGACTCGGCCACCATTGGATTATTGTAAGGGAAATTCTCGTGATCTCACATTCTCGTGTTGTGGGTACATAGCACTTTTTGTCAAAAGTCGACAACGTAGAATGCGACATTTGGACATGATGCAAAATCTCGCAATCTCGCAATCTCACAATCTCGACTTGTGAAATGAGGGCCAGGAAAACAGGAAATCCCGAGAACGCGAGAATGGAACATGTATTTTTTTGTTTTTTTATTTATTTTTTTATTTATTTTTTTGTAAATTGATAATTAAATGAAATATACAATACATTGTTAACATTAACAGCTGCGCACTCGTTGCCGTCAAGAGAAAAATGTACCAAACGCGCGAAATGGACAAGTAGCCGGTCGAATCCCCTTTCCTGATGGGGACAAACAACTTAAAATATTTTCACAAGCTATTACGACGTATTTTGACCCATGATAACTAACATAGGCTTCAGTAAGACCAAAATGTAATCCTGTCTGAACGTGATGATTCACACAAAATGTTTATAAAGGTGGTATCGTCAACTGAAGAGTAGTGAACCTTAAACAATACATTACAATATAATACAAAAGCTAAGCCCAATACATATTAAGGAAAACGTAAGTGGCGTGCTTTCCACATCCCGGCGTCAGTTTATGTAGTGAAAAAATAGCCGATCCAAAACATGAATATGTTTGTGTGAAGTTATACAGTTAAGTGTCGATTTTCGCAGGCGCAGTTGTTAGGGTTTGAATACTTCAGGAAATATTTAACACATTTAGTTCAATGCGTAATGACCTTCCCCGAAAGTACGCGACAATACGGAAATAGAGAGGCAATGTGTTAGTTTCCTTGACAGCCAATGTGAAAGCGATACCAGGTCATAGCTAGTGCATGCACCTGGTACGTTCTTCTTTTTAAAATATTCAGTTTGCATAATATGTATTTATGAAAAAATCAGAACAGTGGGTGGTTGGGTGAGTGAGTGAGTGAGTGAGTGAGTGTTTGGGTTGGTGAGTTAGTGAGTGAGTGAGTGAGTGAGCTAGCTCACATCAGTATTTCAGTTACAGCGCGGCTGATCAGATTCGGGAAGTTGTCAACGGGTGAGTGAGTGAGTGAGTGACTGGCAACCAACCATTTAATATTTAGGAGGAGACAACGTTCATTGTCCCTAATACTGCTCTCATAAACGCCTCTTTGTTAAACGCCGCTTTAAAAAGTGTCGGCACTTTGCAAACCTGGGCCAGAAGTGTCACACCGAATGTCTCATGAATTACATATCACTGGCATACCATGTCCGACAAAGCGAGTGAGTTGGGTCTAACGCCGCTGTTAACAGTATTCCAGTTATATCACGGCGTGTCTGCTTAATGTGGGAGGAAAGCCCGAAATGATGCAGGTGCTGACAAACCTAGAAACATAATCGGGGCGAACCAGGATTGGAACCCACAATCATAGGTTTCTGGCGTGCTTAAAGGACGCAACTCTGCACAGCGAATCGCGGCACCTAAGACGACTGGGCCTGTGCCCCTCTCACCCAACAGTGAATGGGTGCCCGGTAGGATGAGATGGCAGTGTGTCACACCGAATGTCTCATGAATGACATATCACTCGCAAACCATGTCCGACAAAGGTGTGATCAGAAATTAAATTAAAAACATAAAGGTAAAGGAACGAAGATGACAAGTAAATCCACATACAGCCTTTAATTCAAATGCAGTTCATATCAATGACAGATGTCAGCAATACAATGCTATATATGTATAGACCACCTTCTTTATTCTAACAAGATGTAAGCTTGATATGTCATGTACTTTCTGTTTCCGTGATCACCGAATCACCACTACACCATTCAGATCTCTTTTTTTTTAAATAATAATAATAATAACAACAACAACAACAACAATAATAATAATAATAATAATAATAATACAGATCACTTAAGGACTGATGAATCAATATTTATTACACGAATCCTGCTCAGAGGAAACGAATGTAATAATACTGGAAAACATTAATCTGTTTATAGACAATGAAGAATGTACAACGGACGTAAGCAACTTGATCACTATCTACAGTATCCACGAAAATGATAAACCTCAAGCTCGACATAATAATGGTTAAAACAATAATAGCAAACATAAATTTATACAGGACTTTGCGCGTTGACTGTGTACTTCTCAAAGCGTATATGAATGAGTTTCGTTGAACAAACTGGATCTCGAATGAGTCACTTTTTATGCAAGTATACTGTCGAGTTCCTCACAAATCCAACATCATAATGATGATGCATCGAGAATTCGAGGCCACTTCCAAACGAACACTGTTGCCAAGAGATACAACTGTAGCATGTTAAACGATTCATTATTTAACGCCAACACCATAGAATAAAAAGCTTTGATTATCTGCAGGAACCGATTTCTTTGAGCGTAGAAGGCAAAATGGTAGTGAAATTTAATTGAAAGGATCACTGAAAATGACTGATGACACCAGGTGTCCTTGGAAAGAGTTAGCAAGTCCTGCCCCACCGGAAGACACGTTTCACAGCACTACAGCGAGCCGACAATTTAGAGCCATGGTTCATCATAATGATTCACGGTGGACACTGACCGTAAACTACAGCAGTCCTCCATGTTAGTTCCGGTCATGCGCATCACGCTGTCTTTCTTAAGTCGTAAGTGTCGGAGCTCGTGGTAACCGCAACTATTCACATAATCGCGTCTGAGATTGACTCCTTCCTCCCTTCTCTGACTGGAGTCTTGCTGCGGTGGCCGGATATCTTCAATTTCGAAGTAGATGCGGTTGTCGGCCTGAGCGAGAGCAGGGGGCCTGTGACAATGGGGTAAATGTGGATGTACATCATTAAGCTGACATTCATAGGAAGTACATCTACATTCTAAGCATCGAAATACATATGTATATGGTAATATCATTTAAGTCTCTGGGTAACACTATTCTATGAGTGAGTGAGTGAGTGAGTGAGTGAGTGAGTGAGTGAGTGAGTGAGTGAGTGAGTGAGTGAGTGAGTGAGTGAGTGAGTGAGTGAGTGAGTGAGTGAGTGAGTGAGTGAGTGAGTGAGGTTTTACGCCGCTTTTAACAATATTCCAGCAATATCACGGCGGGGGACACCAGAAATGGGCTTCACACATTTTACCCATGTCAGGAATCGAACCCGGGTCTTCGGCGTGACGAGCGAACGCTTTAACCACTAGGCTACCCGACCGCCCCCCTATTCTATTAAGCCCAGTCAAAGCAAATTCTCTAAAATACATGTGAGTATTTCAGGGCTTGTCTATAAAGAAATCTGACGGTTAAATGTTTCAGCCGACATCTTGTTTGTTTGTTTGTTTGTTTGTTTGTTTGTTTGTTTATGTTTAACACCGCATTCAGCACTATTCTAGCTATATTACGGCGGACCGGGCCAGACAGTCCAGTGGTTGACATCATGAGTATCAACCCACGCAATACGGATACGATGACATGCTTCAACCAAGTTAGCGAGCCTGACCACCCGATCTCGTTAGTCGCCTCTGACGACAAGCATAGTGGCCAGGCGACATCTCAGTATTTTGGCAACCCTAGTCATGGACACCTTTGTAAACCAACACCTGCATGTTCTGTCAATTTTCCAAACTGACCCCTGTGTGTCAATCTGGCAACCTATGTGATGGCATACCATCTAATTATATACTGTGTTTGCTAGTATCCATTACAGACACACATTGGTCTAGTTGTCTGATCAACCTCAGAGTGCTCTGAAAGCCTATATACATGACATATTAAAGGTAAATTGACTAAACCAGCACCCGAGCGTTCAAGAACATTTCATGTTTGTTCTGATGCTTGAGTATTCGTGAATTCCTGACACATTCCGAGTAATTTTGCCATGATATATTAAAAAAACACGTAAATGACATAATCGAAAAACAGGGGTACAACATAGAATGTGAAACTACATGATACGGATACCTTCAGTCAAGACAGGTACTCTGGGATTTGGGTCTTTTGCCTTTAAAAAAACACTAATATCATTGTGATTAACACATTAAAACCTACCTTGCGTCAGAGGTTTCTGTGAAAAAGAAGGAAAAGTTGACATTCACGCAGAGCAGCAATTCATCACAATTCATCGCCTGTTAAATTTAACTGATATAAGTCTGAACATGATTCTAATCCTAATGATGTCGTTATATTTACGTTATGTATTGTGCTTCACTGTCACATTAATAAGTAGAATGTATATTCAACGTTGCAGAACATCACGCATCCTGAGGTATTGATAATCACAGCAATACCGAATACTACAACAAACGCTTGTTCCGATCCTGGCCTAGACACAAACGATTTAGTGAATGGGCTTCTGTTGGGCCGATTTGGGTAATCAGACAATATTCTTTGGAGTAGTATTATGACAAGTAACTGTATTAGTTCAACTGCCCTGACATTACACTGCTGCTATTTATATTTTGACTCTCCATTCATTTCTCAATTACAATTCAACGAATGCATATCATGACGTATTTCAACGCAGAACAAATCCCACCTTTTCGTCGTTTGAATGTTCTGCGACAAAGCAAGAAAGCGATGACGGAGATGATCACCGTTGTTGCAACCGAAAATCCAATACTGACTACAACAAGGGTCTGCAGCCCTCCTGGAAAAAATGGATTTTAACTGAATTAATTGAAACATTGAACACTGTTTTACAGGCGTTTTTTGTATAACAAAAACCCTTGTTTTGCGAGATACGATATCATCTATCTATCTATCTATCTATCTATCTATCTATCTATCTATCTATCTATCTATCCAATTATCTATCTATCTATCCAACCATCCATCCATCCATCCGTCCGTCCTTCCGTCCGTCCGTCCGTCCGTCCGTCCATCCGTCCATCCATCCATCCATCCATTCATTTACACACCTTTAACGACAGATGCATCAGTCGTTGTGGTCAGCTTTTTGCTCGAGTGTGCCGATCCATCAGGTGAGGTGGGCATTACAGAAGACATGCTGTCTTCACTTGCTGAAATAGGCCACGTGAGAGTAACGATATCAGTTACAAAAAGTAACGCAGATATCAGAGTAAAGCAATTATGATAAAGAGAATATCGAGTGATCAACAGTACCCTTCCCTAAGCCTGACAACATTTACAGCAAACCTCCACAAAAGTATATGTTATCGTTACTTAAGGATTAATAGGAATGCATCTTTAAATTATGTTTGAAGATCACTACTGTCATGTTTGTTAGCATATTTATGTTTGAAGACAAGGACGATTTGTAATTTAATCGAGGAAATATCATACTTGACACATGTCAACACATGAAAATATAAACATACCAGGCGTTGTATCATCATGATCACCAGTTGAGTTGCTGAATGTGACTGGCTCAAATGTGGTCTGAACCTCTCTCACAGTCGAAACGTACGTCGTATGAACTGTGTTAATGATATTCAAATACGTTGAATCAAAATATAGGTGGTGGATTATTTTTAATAACTAAATATATGTATACAATTACACTACGGAACATGCATAAAGACAAATGTGTCAAAAGTTTACGAGTTTATGAAACGTACATCGTGAGGGAAAAGTCATGCGACTTGACTCGGGTGATCGTCTCTGTTTTAGTTTCTGCTGTTTTCTCTTGCACAAAATGAAATAATATTTACATACTGTTACGGGAACACGTGGACATATTCCGATTAATGTATACACTTTCCGTCCTTCACTTTAAACCAACACAGTTGGCCGGAAATTGGGTATGATATGAACTTCAAAGTTTGATACCAGTATATGGAATTATATCTAAACGATTAAATTATATGAATCATATACTTACCTACAGTTGAGGTTTTGTCAACTTCTGAAACCGGTACAGTCACAGTGTCATCTAAAATATATGTGATGTTTATAAAAAAAATAACAACAATTCTGAAAATTTTCCTGTTTCCTCCACCTTTCACCAAACAATATTTGCATACTGTTGACTTAACGTGTTTACGTATTCCGATGTATTTATAGGATCATTCTTTTACTTGTTACTTAGAGACGAATGTCAATGAATTATTCACAAATGTTAATATGAGTAAGAAGGTATGCTACGAGCGTGGAGAGGACATTTTGAGAGATTCAGTAGTACGAATCATATGTATATACTTTACCTGTAGTAGATGTTGCGACAGATGGTGAAGCCGACCCAGTCACAGAGTCATCTAAAAAATGAGTGATGTTTTTTTTTAATTTCCATGCGTTTCATTCCAACATCTAAATGTATTTGGTCTATTACGTATATACATGCACACCTACACATACATACATACATACATGCATGCATGCATGCATGCATGCATGCATGCATACATACATACATACATACATACATACATACATACATACATACATACATACATACATACATACATACATACATACATACATACATACATACATACATACATACATACATACATACATACATACATACATACATACATACATACATACATACATACATACATACATACATACATGTAACAAGGCAAATTGACCTACTGAAAACGACCAGCACGTGTTCCCAGTCACAGCCTGCATGTCCGCCCTTCTCCAGGCTACAGTTGTACCTCCCAGCATCAGCTGATGTGATGTCAGAGAGTTGGAACTGAACAGTGACATTATCCGATGATGTGATGACTTTCACGATCTTGATCCTGGTCCAGTAGAGTTCCCATATGTAGACTTCAGCAGAGTCCATTTCAAACACATTTCTATCATTAGGGTCTTTAAGGTATATTCTTGACTGGTGTTGGGGTGTCCTCATGGACAGCAACACAGTGTCTCCCTCGTGCACTTCCGTGTTCTGAGGAGACTCAGGCACATCTACAACATAGTCAGTTTTCTACTAATAACAATATCGACAGTTGCAATGACATGAGTAGGTGAGGTGTGTTTTACACCGTATTTCTGTTATACTGTATTTCTACACAAACACAGTTATGGTGGGTCTGTCTTAATTTGAGGGTGAGAGGAGAGCTTGCCAGAAATTGATGCGGGTCTAAGTATCTAAGTACAACTAAAGTTCATCTTACTCGAACGTATAAACACTGAACAGCCAAAGAACTTTTTCTATCACTTTCACAAAATCAATGGGTAAATAGCAAAATTTAATCAAAACGAAAACAAAACTTTTATCAGTAAAAAAGCTCCCAAAAGAGTGTGCAGCTACTCTCACACACATGAGTCCAAAAGAGGGACGGGTCAACTGAAATTGCTACAACAGAAGGCGACGTCTTAAACACCTAAAGCAACGACAAATCGATGTTATCGGCATGGCTTGCTTATGCAAAGTAGAATATACTACGTCTCAGAGAGGAACATACTTGTATGGAGCTATGTTATTCTCAAACTGGGATGTTCCATTACCTATCTGAGGTAACAGTTGGCTTCTTAGTCGTGTTTGAAATTTAATTTTTTAAGCTGTGTAACAACAACTGGTTGTCTAACAAATGGGAGGTTACCCGTGACACTTGTAATGAATACATACATTCTATGCTAAGGACATAGTCCACACTCTGGTCTGTGAGTAGATTGTCCCCAACCACTGTCTGACAAGAGTATCTGTCTGCTCTGTCCTTCCCTGTCACGCCACCGATAGTCAGAGTGCTGTTCATGTATCGCCCCCCCCACCCTCTCCTGCTACCAGACGCCAACTGATGCCTGCCTCCATTCTCCACACCCATTCCGTTTCTCCTCCAGACCAAGGACATGGGCAGGTTATCGCTGGGGTAACTTTTCAGAAAGGTGTGACATGTCAGATCTACAGAACCGCCTACCTTTACTTTGTCCGGGCTCTCAATGTACGGTTCTTGAACACCTGTGGCAAAAATGATCACAGATGCAAATTGAGTGGCTTATCAAATATGTATTTAAGTGTGTTGTAAATGCTTTCATGATAGGGTTCAATACCGAAATCGGTTTGATGATATCACCAACGTAAATTACATTGTCAATGCAAAAGAAACACCAGTCTAGATTATCCGTAGAAACATTTGGCAAAAGGGCAAAATATCTGTGAAATTTAAATGAATGGACATACTTCTTTCTGGAAACATGAACATTATCCCTCTTCAAAATACCCTGTTACAGCTGCCCTGGTCAGTGACATATTGATACATTGTGTAGACTTAGTTACCATGCTCAAATTCCGGATAGTGTTTCTGTAAATGAACCACTTACGTATCACTACTAGCTGTTGCCCACAGTTGGGAATCTTTGTTCCTGGACGTTGTGGTGAACCAAGGTAGCAGTTGTACTGACCAAAGTCATGGTCGTCAGCGCTACTGATCACGAAGCTGAAGAGACCAGTTCCTGAGGATGTTATGTTTCCAGTGAAGTCTACTCTTGAATTCTTACCAGTAATATTGACTTTGTTATAGTTCGTAGCGTGAATCACATTTTCTCTCATAAAATCGTTTCTGATAAAAAAGTCTTTGTTTCCAGACCCCTGCAAATTCCAAGCCAGAGTAGCTGTTTCTCCAAAACGAATATAAACATTTGACGCAGCTGAAAAATAAATGCATCAAATATAACCTTTACAATTCAATTGCTTTCCCAAACGACTACACATTTACTGAAACACTATTGTAATTACTTGTAAAATAGTTACAGAACACCAGCAGTTGGAAGATTATATGTTGTAATACCTACCAGCCATGATAAATTAACTATAGGCATATGACAAAAACGGGTGTTCTTAAACCTATTTTGTGTGGTATATCTATGTATTTTCATCGCAAAAAGTAGAAAAGTAACATGTACTAAGGGAGTATCCATACCATTTGCCTCATACATACCCATCACGATAAGTGTCTGTCCACAATTAGCAATTGTGAATCCTCTGTTACCTGGCGACCGCGAATAACACTCATACCGGCCTTCGTCATGAAACTTGACATCTCTGATGATAAATCTGAACAATCCTGTTCCAGAAGGTGATATGTTCCCTGTAAATGTGATCCTAGATTCTGAGTTCACGTCAGTGACATTATTGTAGTTGGTTATATGGAATATGGCTTTCCCTGCGCGTGTGTTCCAAACGGTGAACTCGCTGTTTCTAGGTCTGGGTAGAGACCATGACAGTGTAGCATTTCCTTCAACGGTTACGTTTGCTGAAAGGCAACAAGAATGGTTTTAGCTATAGAATGCTAATGTAAATGGAAGTGTAAAGATACAATCACACGTGTACGTTCCTGCAGATCGTTTCCAACTAGCATATCCACGACATATTCAATTCCATGAATGATCAATGTCATGTCAACGGGTATTGTGTACTTGACATTTTGATTATGACAATGTTCGGGTTCCATACAGTGAATGAGAGCTGTCTCGTGTCATTGATCGTGGCATATCATTTATTTATGTTTATTTCTTGATGTTATAACTTGTCACATATTAACTGAGTTTTTGTATGAACGTTTATCTGTTGAGTCTTTATGTTGGACCCTCGTCTACATATAATTCTAAGATTAAATTTTCCATTTTCTTCGTGAGTGAGATGGGTTTAATGCCGCTTTTAACATTATTCCATTTATATTATGGCGTGTCAGCTTAATGTTGGAGAAAAGCCCGAAGTGATGCGGGTCTCATGCGTTTACCACTTCAGTGAAACCCACGAGCACAGGTATGGTGCTGACATACCTAGAAACATAATCGAGGCGATCTGTCATTCGATCCCACAATTCTAGGTTTCTGGTTTGCCAATGATTTTGGTTTCGAATCCCCTAATTATGTTTTTAGGTTTGTCAACACCATTCCCGTGCTCGTGGGTTTCACCGAAGTGGTAAACGTCACTTCGGGCTTTCCTCCCACATTAAGCTGACACGACATGATATAACTGGAATACTGTTAAATGCAGCGTTAAACCAAACCTACTCACTCACTCACTCAACTTGAAACTGCCTACCAACTGTTACAGCTATCAACATTCAACTCAGTCACAAGTGGTTAACATATCTGGATATATTCTATAAACATCATGCCAAATTATCAATTTAAAATGGATTTTTGTGTAAATTGCTTAGTTGACAGCCTCTAGTACTAATACAAACACAGACGCGCATTCATTCAATAATCTTGAGCATGACGTTTAACTACATTTCACGTCACCTCATCCCTTGAGTTATGTATGTTTTTATTGTATCAGTCTTACCTGTCGACGCTCCTCCTATACAACGATGGGAAAACAACAAAACACAAATGACAGTTGTACAGCTCCAACTACACATCATCCCGCAGTGGTTCGTGACTGATTATATCAGTAACTAACTCGTCAGTGTACCACGCTCGCTACAAATACTTCCTCTGTTCTCTACCCTTCAGGCATAACACAGGCCATGGTGGAATAATCCAAACAAGTCCGCCATATCATACACTTTGAGACCTGGCAATAAATAATAGCAATGTTATTGTTTGCAATACTCTAATTATCCACGTATTTCATTTCGTCCCATCAACTTATACCAGGAACAAGTCACTTTCCTGTTCGGTATATTTATAGAGTGCTACGTTTTATACAGACTGTCATGTACATTTCTTCCGTCAAGCTTGTACACACCTTCCTGGTGATGCATTTATTCTTAGAAATTGACCAGTGTGATCACACTCTGCGAAAATTCTCGTCACAATATGGTTGCAATATTGCCGATGTGACGTTAAATTTTGACTCACTCACTCACTGTCAAAACTCAATATGGGACTGCTTCCCACGACTATGTAATAAACGTGGACACGGTAATAGATGTCCTGCGGGAAATTGAGACTTTGGCGTGGGAACTTTCAGATGGATCTTTATAATCAATTTTACTTAAATGAAAACCAAAGTAACATCTGAATGAT